ATATATATATATATATACCAAGACGCTCCGACTGTCAGTGTGGGTATCCCAGTCAGTGATGTTATTGGGATGTTCTTACATGCCAAGCACAGCCATGTCAGGTCCTTCGATCCCAGGCTGCACACCCACCGTCTATTTCCATGTATGTGCGCCATCTTTTCGGGGATTGCCCGAGTGATCGTTTACTCTCTTTGTGGTATATGTATACCACAGAAAAGTGTACAATATATGCAGACCTAAAACGGCTAATTTTTAGCTTAAAAAGCTGGAATGAGGAAAGTGGCATAAGATGTCAAGGGATGCGAGGAGTGAACGGTTGACAGGGTAAATGGAGCTGGTCGGCCAGTTGTCGGATGACATGTCCGAAACAGTTGTTGGAATTGCTGTTGATGCTGCTACCGCCGCAGCTTCATCATCCATCGCTTGCGGTTTGGACTGCTGCTGCTACTCACTGACCTCACAAATGTACACAACATACAGCCTAATACACGCTCACCCACAGAGCGCTGACGAGGGCGCAAGCCAAGTGCGGAGTTAGCTGTGAACGAGACAGGACAGGACGCGCTGCTTCTAGCTCGGGAGCCACCGGCCATCGACTACTGGTCACTACTAGCAAATCGAGAAATATTTCTTGGTGATGCACTAAATAACACTTTGCCAGCAGCGATTATCCTGAGGGACTTCAGTGTGCTCGGGGCACGAAGCAAAAACAAGCCAATGAGCTTCAACCCGCCTGCCAAATCAGCTGGGTGCCGATGTCGATGAGCAGTGTTGTGCGCTTCTCGGCGAATCCTGATCTGTAGAACGGGTCAGATGAATGTCGCAGGAACAAGGGAAAGCCGGACAAGAAACTTCGATTTCGAATTCTGTTGTTCGACTCCCAAGTGAAGTTTTGCCTTTAAAAATCAGTAATAAATGGCCTGCACAATGCTTTTTACTGTTGCCATTTAATGTGCTCATTTCTGCTGTAATCAGCTAATTTATCAAGGCAAAAAAAAAAAACTTTTTTATGCATTTTTTGCAGCTGTGCAATGCAAAAACGCATATTGTCGAGGGGTTGTCTGTGTGTGTCTGTGTGTGTATGTATGTGTGTGTCTGTGTATTCGTCTGTAACGAGTTTTCATCTCGAGATCCACAAAACCTACAAGGCCGAAAATTTGGTGACTTAATCTACACATACGTGCGGGCTCGTATCCTCAAAATGGACGCTCAGGTCCACGTGGTTCTCACGTGAAAGTTTTTTTTGGCGGGAAAGCGTTTTCAGGAACAGCTCATGCAAAGAGATGTTCCTTGGCCGCGTCTAATCCAAAGATTTCAAATTCAACCTTCACGCATCCCCGGTCTCACGTACGCACACGTCAAAATTTAAACTGGCATCATGCCAGCTCCAGATTTAAGCTGATCAATAAGCTGCAGAGAGCTGCAATTTTGCAGCTTTACTTGTCGCCTAATGTTGTGCCCGTGAAAGTAAATTACTTGTCAGCTTTTCTGCATCTCACGTACGAACACGTGTACACACGTGAAATTTGACGTAACTCTGCAACCGGAGCAGCTGGAATGCTGGAACTTTTTGAGCGCTGCCCAGGACCGTTTTTGACTAACCGCGGGCGAGGAAAGCATTCACTTTACCACTCACGTAGGAAGACGCGAAATTTGACGTAACCCTGCAACCAGAGCAGCTTGAGTACTGAAATCTTTGAGCACTACCTAGGGCCGTCTTTAATTAACCCCAAGCGAAGAAATCACTCGCATTGCTACTCACGTACGAACACGTGGAATTTGGCGTAACTCCGCAACCGAAGCATCCAGAGCGCTGAATTTTTTGGGCATGGATTTGGGGTCATTGTAATAGTTTCTAACAGTCGTGGTGGCCAGTCACAATTTTTTTAGCTAGAAGCATCTGCCAGGAAGAGCGTGCCACTGGCGAAAAAAAAAACTGCGGGGGAACTATGCAAAAAACGCATCCTCGTATCGGCAGCCGGTACGCTTTCTACGAAGTTTTTTGATGAAAAGTGGCACAGAAATTCTCCTGAACGGGGGAAGAGGACATTCTGGCTGATTTTTCTCAACACATATTGCCATCCACTTTTTCGTGAACGCTCAATCAACACAAATTCATCTATGATATTTATAAGTGATGAATGTAAATAAATTGCAACGCGCACCAGACTCTCCGGTGCGATCACGCGTTTTGTGCAATTCAGCCCATCGAACGATTGCCTATTAATGATTTTCACTGCGTTATACTTTAGTCTATGCAAAAATAGTTGAAACATTGAAAAATATTTAGAAATTTCACGCACCAGCGCATGAAAGCTGAATTCGAAACACTGAAGAGTGAATATCTTTCCGTGACTCGAATCAATAGTATTCCCGCCAAAATTTTTACGAGGCCGTAGGTGACACACGAGAGCGCTGGAAAGCTGAATTTGAATAGGCAAGGTTGAGCGAGAGCAAGGATCATCACCCTAAAATTTCAACTTTGCAGACCTTGTGGTTCCCGAGATAATAATTTATCCGTAAAAAATTTCACTAGCCCGTAGGTGATACCCGAGAGCGCGGGAACGCTGAATTTGATGCGCAAGGTTGAGCGTGGGCAGGGGGTCATTATCCTAAAATTTCAGCTTCCTAGACCCCGTGGATCCTAAGATAATAATTTACCCGTCAAAAATTTTCACGGAGCCGTGCTTGTTACTTGCGGGCAGGGGAAAGTTGAATTTAAATTTTCTGAGTAGTACATGGGCGGGGGACATGCTCACAAAATTTCAGCCTTCTACCCTCCGTGGTTCCCGAGATACTGATTTTACCCGAAAAACTTTTACGGGACTTTACGTGTTACCCGCGAGTACAGGAAGGCTGAATTTAAATTTGCCACGTCACCCGTTGGTGAGGAACACTATACTAAAATTTCAGCCGCCTAGCTTTTGTGGTTCCCGGGTTGAAAGTGCGGGACAAAATGTGGGACACACACACACACAGACAACCCGTGACAATATGCGTTTTTATGCGTTTTTGCCGTGCAGCGCTAGAGCGCTGCAACAGGCAGCAA